CTGCTTGTCCTATGGTGCCCGCCTCTTATCATAGCTATACCAACAAACATCACCTGACCTGTCGTCAGCACATCAAGGTTTTTGATTCCATTTGTAATTAATTTTGCTCATGGAGGTCCGAACCAACTCCTCTGACAGCTCTCCTGATTTCCTCTCGTCTGCTGTTTGGCATGCTTCCCCCTCCAAAGGGGACGGCTCTCAAGCGGGCAAATTCCATTCATATTGGCTTTCCCGTGTCTCACTCATTATAGCTGACAAGTGACTCATTCATTTTCCTGGTCGCTCATATCTACGCACTCACCTCCGTCATCATTTGATCGATTGCCGTCGTTTTCGACCGTTTTTCGGCCGAGGGTTTTATGCGTAATCTGTTCAGCCGGTCGCTGCCTACCGTTCCTCGTCGACGCCCTCCTCCTCGTTGAGCGATTGGGGCTCCGCAGTCCTTTTCATCACAATGACTGCTTCCGATACATCGTCTTGTCCGGACTGCCATTCACGTACTGTACGTTGGCGGAACACTTTGTCCGGCTTGCTTTATGCGATATTCTGTTTTCCATGTGGGATCTATTGCTGTCTTAAACGACGACAACAGCACTGCTCACAGTGCGATTGTGATGTGAGTACTTGTCTGGTTCGATCCTTTTACTTTCTCAAAATCCTATTCGGAAATGGGCGCAGTTCGGCTCAGGGGGAAGGGGGGGGGCATTTTGAATCTTCGCTAGTTTCTTTTGCTGCACATGTTCTGTAGAGTCTTGTCAAGTGTAAAGGAATCCCATGCTATCGCATAGTTTCATTGGAACTCGCAGATCTTCACAGGTGCCATCAGCATTGATGGCAACCAGCAGGATGCCCCCACAAAGCCGAACTCTGTCGCTGAAATATCTGTACGGGGTTCCAACAGTTGAACGCAGTCAATACCGCTAACGGCGCTGAAGTGGTGTCACCTTGCGACGGTCGTAATTTGTGGTGAAATTCCCACGCTATTGCTACCTGTAAAACACACACTCCGCCATGCCTGTTGCCATACATAGCCATGGCTGCGTTGTGCGGGAAAAAAGATGCATACTCTCATTACGCTGTACCAAAAACCATCAAACACCACGAATTTTTTTCAGAAGTAGGCCAATTCCTAGCCGAACACGCCCTGGTTCCAAGGGTGTCTTAAAGAGAAAAATTCCAATTCACCTTAGTAATCTCTTCCGACCCCAATAATCCATTCAATTTGCGAATGGCATCGGACAAAAGAATGTGGCGCGCGACCTTCCTGAATGTCCAATCCTAAATTTGCGCGATAGCGACTCATACAACCTATCTTCTGCTGAGAAAGCACGTTTAGAAAACCAATTCCGAAAATTTGCTACACACCTGTAGCATTACCTACTTCGCCACGAAACAGCGTATCTCTGTTACCTTTTTCCCTCAACTGTGATGCATTGCCATTTTTTTCTTACCCTCAAACGAGAGATAAAATCAAAGGCGTGGCATCCTGAACGAGGTTGAAAACTTGTGGGTTCATTCTACAACACATGGGCATACTTTCATAAAACTGCTTCACCATGTAGAGGCTATTTAAGGATCCCAAGGAAACGTATAAGTACCAACGCAGAGGATGCTTTACTCTCTGGTGGGTGTGTGATGTCCTTATCATTCGGTTGGGGTCAGGTCAGTTTAGCGATCTGAAATCCACCCTAGTATAGGGTTGGGTCGGACTCATCTTACGTTGGAAATTCCCAGTGAGTGTTTTGTACTAAGTAATTGGAATACTTTAGCAAGATAATAGGCAAGGAAAGGCGGGGGGGGGGGGCGCGGCGAGCTGCGAAGAGCCCGCTCGTTCTAAGAGGAGGAACTTCTGAGCAGGCAGGCGCGTATTTATCGCCGCGAGGACGTACGTTTGGTACGTCACTAGCCTCCCAGCAGAAGGTGGGTACTTTCTGTAGTACTATTTCCTAGCCATGGGGACAACTACCGGGCTTACGGCGGAAGTTCTGGGACAGAACTCCCAACACAGTCCATACCGTCTCGTTTTCCAATGCCTTGTCATCTTTTGATGAGCCTTTTCCATGGGAGTTTGTTATCGGGAGAGATTGAACATCAACAAGCCGTTTTTGCCCCCCCCCCTGCCCCCCCTTCTGTCATCACCATCTGACTCAGTAACTAAATAGTTGCATGTTAGCTCAATATTTACATTTCACGATAGTCTATGCAATAGGAATTCAATGATGCACCTATTCCCGACTAACATTATGAATCTTCCCCATTCAGGTAATCAAGTGCTCTCGTGGGGCGGCAGTGACCTTCCCTCGGCTACTCTTACCGTGGATACGACACGATGGAGAAAGGAATACCGGCGTCATTGGCCGTCGCCTACAGAAATACCGCCTATACGGGCAGTTCCCATTCTTCGACTGGAATTCCTGAAGCTTCCTGCAATTCGAGAACCGACCTTGTTACTGTGTAACTTCCATTACTTTTAATTCTATGCTTGATCAGTTTTTCAGAAATTACCGGTGCCAGTTATCAGGTGCCGATTGCGGCGATTATTCATTGTCCGTTTTCATTGTCATTCGCTTCTCTTACCAATGACCGATGTTTTTATTTTACGGGTTGATTCATAAATGCTTGCTTTCACATTTTTTCGGATTTTTCAATCAGTGCCAGGCTAGGTGTTTTCGGGAGCTCCAGGGCGATAATTTTTGCTAGAACTACAGGACTGGAAGGTCGAACGTGAACACATTGACTAGAATGTCCTAAGTTCTGCAGAGAACAGAAAGCAGCCGCTGTTCTTCTTGCCTGCTCTCTGCCGACTCATGTTCGGAATACTTTTTCTGGCATTAATTTAGCCCCTTTGGTTCATCCTTTCAAGGGACTAGAGCGTTTAACGAGCCGATGTAGCAGGCAGATTTCTGTCGTTGGGAATGAATTTTTGCGAACTTGCTTCTCCCCCTCCTCCAGAAAACCTCCTTCTATGGTCCACAATCTCCATCCTACCCACTACCTTCCTAAATGTTCTCAACTTCGATCACTTTTCCACAGCTTTTTTCAGTTCTAAAAATCGAAAACTGCGTTGAGCGCAAGGCGGGGTGCTGTCATAAAGCGCACTTGAGACAGGAGGAACTAACTGAAATAATAGACAATCTTTCTGAGGATAATCACGAAATCCCCCTCTGCAGCAGCCAAATACGCCTCTCCCCCATCTGGGTATTAAGTGGCCCACCTCACCACTAGATCCCACACGTTTGTAAACAGATCCCTGATTGGTGGTTTAGTTTCGAGCTTGTAGGTTGAGAACCTTCTAAAATTGTATTTGCGAGCAAGTGAAATGACAAAAGCTGTATGGTTTAATTGTATGTTTTTAAAGCGGTCACAACAAAGATAGCATGGGAAAGTGCAAAAAAGTGCACTGATAAGGCA